CACAGCCCGTGACCACCAGCAGATGTTGGAGGCCAAACCCAGGGCTTGTCCCACCTCAAACATCACCAAGACACAACCTGCAACCACCAGGAGGGCTTGGAGCCCAAAGCCAGGGCTTGTCCCACCTCAAACTCCACCAAGAGAGCTTGGAGGGCAAACCCAAGGTTTGCTCCACCTCAAAACCCACCAAGACAGAACCTGCAACCGCCAGCAGATGTTGGAGCCCAAACCCGGGCCTTGTCCCACCTCAAACCCCATCAACTCACAGCCTGTGACCACCAGGGCAGTTTGGAGACCAAACCCAAGGCTTGTCCCACCTCAAACCCCACCAGGAGGGCTTGGAGCCCAAACCCAGGGCTTGTCCCACCTCAAACCCCATCAACCCACAGCCTGTGACCACCAAGACAGTTTGGAAACCAAACCCAAAGCTTGTTCCACCTCAAACCCCAGCAACCCAGAGCCTGTAACCACCAGCAGATGTTGGAGGCCAAACCCAAGGCTTGTCCCATCTCCAACTCCACCATTCCATAGGCTGCAGCCACCAAAAGAGCCTGGAGGCCAAACCCAGGGCTTGTGCCACCTCAAACCCCATCAATCCAAAGCCTGTGGCCACCAGCAGATGTTGGAGGGCAAACCCAAGGCTTGTCCCACCTCAAATCCCACCAACCCACAGCCTGCAACCACCAGGAGAGCCTGGAGGCCAAACCCAAGGCCTGACCCACCCCAAACCCCACCAGGAGGGGTTAGAGGCCAAACCCAAGGCCTGACCCACCTCCAACCCCACCAACCCATGGGCTGCAACCTCCAGGACAGTTTGGAGACCAAACCCAGGGCTTGTCCCACCTCCAGCCTCACCTGCAACCACCAGCAGAGCTGTGGGGGGTGGGGTTGACACCCCAGGAGGAAGGGGAGCCCACCCAGAGGGACCCAGACGGGCTGGAGAGGTGGATCCACCACCAACCTCATGAGGTTGAGGAGGAACAGGGACGAGCTGGGACGTGGGAAGTTCCACCTCAACGTGAGGAGAAACGTCCTGACCCTGAGGGTGGCAGAGCCTGGGCCAGGGGTGGTGGAGCCTCCAGCCCTGGAGACATCCCAGCCCTCCTGGGTGCTTCCTGTGGGATCTGCTGGGGGATCTGCTGGGGGATCTGCTATGGGACCTCCTGTAGGTGCCCCTGCTCTGGCAGGGGGTTGCACTGGATGATCTCCACAGGTTCCCTTCCCACCACCCTGTGATTTCCATCTCCCCTTTGGGAAATCATCTCCCCTTGGGATCCCCCCAACACCCCTTGGGATCCCCCCACCACCCCTTCGGATCTCCCCAACCCCCCCCCCTCTTCCCACCACCAGGATCATCCCCAGCCCAAACCCCAACGTTTCCCCTCTCACTGAGAAGAAACCAGGAAGATCTGGGAGGCCCCAGGAAAACCTGGAAAGACCCAGGAAAACCCAGGAGGAGTCAGGAAGAACCAGGGGAACCCAGGAGGCCCCTGGAAGATCTGGAAGGAGCCAGGAGGAACCAGGAGAAACCAGAACACAGGAGAAACCAGGAGGAGTCAGGAAGATCTGGAAGGACCCAGGAAGACCCAGGAGGCCCCAAGAGAAACCAGGGGGACCCGGGAAGACCCAGGAAGAACCAGGAGGCCCCAAGAGGAACCAGGGGGACCCGGGAGGCCCCAGGGGGAGCCAAGAGGAACCAGGAGCCAGCAGGACCCAGGAGGCTCCAGGAGGAGCCAAGAGCAACCAGAAGGAACCAGGGGGACCCAGGAACATCTGGAAGGATCCAGGAGACCCCAAGAGGAACCAGGGGGACCCGGGAGGC